GGCTCTCATTTGAGATCATAATCAATATCTCTGTGTGGGAGCCATTCTGAGTTGGGGTTCGTGTTATTGGCAGCGTAAACACAAAGAACTGAATCCGGCCTCTCCCTGAATGAACTTGGGGGACAGATTCTTCCCTACTCCAGATGTGGCTGAGGACCCTTTGATTTTGGCCCTGTGAGAGCCCAAGCCGGGGACCCAGCCAAGCCTGCCTGGACTTGTGGCCTGCACAGCTGTGAGGTCATGGATCAGGGTTATTTCAAGACACTTCGTTTCTGGGTGTTTGTTGTGGTTGTGATAGAAACCAAACAGAACCACCCAGACAGGCCCAGCCCATCTGTGTGGTCAGCAGGACGTGGATGATTACCCCTGGCCGTGACCAGGGAGGAGAGGGGAGGGGCCTGAAGTCATGGTGATGAGCCTTTCCCTTTGCCAAGGATCTGGTTTAGAAACAAGTAGAAAGAGTCATTTTTTTTCTGTCTCTGGATATGGCAGTGATGGCTGGGGCCATGGCAGCTATTTTGTGACTATGCAGGGGGTGGACCATCTGGACAGGCGGTCAATGAGGTTGCACAGATCAAGTGCTTGGCTCAGTCCCTCAGGCCCAGCAGGTGCTTAGAAATCCATGGCCTGTGTTTCTGAGTCAGTGCTGCCCCCTTCTGCCTCCCAAGCAGGATATCCATTTAAAACCATGCCTAGCTCGGGGTGGAGGCTGTAGTATTTATTTTGGGGGGTACAAAGGACTGAACCTGGGGTGCTTAACCCCTGAGCCCCGTCCCCAGCCCTATTTTCTATTTTATTGAGAGACAGGGTCTCGCTGAGTGGCTCAGGGCCTTGCTAAGTGGCCGAGGCTGGCCTCCACCTTGCGATCCTCCTGCCTCAGCCTCCCCAGCCAGCCTCTAGGATGCCAGGCCTGTGTGTTGTCTTTTCTGTGGAAGCCAAGAGCTTGCTTCCAGGCCGGTGTGGACCCCCTGAGATCAGCTCTCTTAATAGACACCTGCAGAACACCCCACAGCAACCACAGATCAGTGTTTGAAGGTACCACCGGAGCGTGTCCCCCAAGGTGGCACATCTAAAGACGGCCACCCTCCCTGGCCTCTGCTTGTTTTCTGGCACAGACGGGAGCTGTCACTGGTGTGTGGCCTTCAGAGCAGGCCAAGCCCTCCCCGGGAGCTCCTGGGGTTTGCCCAGAGTGGCTTCCTCTTTTAAAAAGGATGTTTCCTGAACGAAGAAGCTCGCAGGAAATAGGAGACCGGCCTGAGAATTCCGAGAACAACAGGAGGAAGAGGCAGAGATAAATCACCGAGAGGGGACCGTGGGGGACAGTCCTGGGGTCCTCTGGGCTGCACAGCATCCTCTTTTTTTTTTGATCCCAGGGATGGAACCCAGGTCCACTTAACCCCTGAGCCCCGTCCCCAGCCCCTTTTTCTATTTTATTGAGAGACAGGGTCT